TMGMWKKAWTWAAWWYGGYAAAAWWAAAAAAGTTAAAAAAMGGCCAGTAGAAAAAAATWGTGTTTTGAAATATTTTGCATGTCTTTGATTAGTCCATTAGTCCATCCACTTGTCAATGAGTTTTAATTATTGTAATAATTAAAAATTATTGCTTTAAGATACTTACGACGACATATGTTCGCCCACTGCAATTGATAAATTTGTCAAATGTCAAATAGTTTGTCAAAATACTCAGTTTATWCAATTGCTCAATTCAAAGATTTAAAATCGATAACAGAGAGAAACAGTCAAAAAATTCAACTCATTCAATTCCAGTTTATTTTAAGAGTAAAAATCGGTACTTAATTATTTATTTTATTCTCAATGGAATAAAGTACCAGATTATTAGTCAAAGACGAAATAAACCTCGTTTTATTCCCTATTAGAGGAAGAATAATTTTTCCTTTAAAAATTTGCACAATAATAACTTTCGATTACCCGCTGTTTTGCAATCACTCAGTGGAATGATAACCTTAAAAACCTTAAGTAGAAAAACAAATGTAAATGTAAATAAAGTAAGTTTAAAGTTAAATATAAAAAAGTACATCAAAAATACATTACAATTCGTTCAACATTAGCAAAATTATTCAGAAATTTTTTTGTAAAATATATTTAATATACAGGGTGTTCCGTTTTAATTGTTACAAATTTAAACAGGTGATAGGATATTCAATTCTAAGACAAAAGTTTCCTWTAAACATGAATCGAAAAATGCTTAGTAAGAGAGCTACACCCCCTGAAAGGGGGCTAATAGGTTTTTGCTAATATTTCAGAAACCATTTAAGATAAAATTACTAAATTTGGTACAGATGATAACCTTTATACACCTAAACGAATTCAAACATCAAATGTCGAAATTTTTAATCAGGGGCGTCCGAAACTGGTGGGGTTTAGGGTAAAAAAATACCCTATCTATTTTGGCTATAGTTTCTTTAGTTATGCATTGACCAAAATGGTGGTCACTTTGAACAACTCCTTTAGATTTAGGAAAATTCATCTAATTAATGTTATTATTGTTACTGTAATGTAATGTTAATTAGTTGAGGTTGATTAAAAAATATGAATTTCTTGCTTTTATTATTCTGTAAATTCTGATTTATTTGAATGTTGTATTGGTGTGTAACATAAATTTTAAATTAATTTTATTCAAAAARAATAAGTCGTATCGACACAAAAGAGACCTTTCTGTGATAAACTATCGAATTTAAGATTTTGTTGCTGAAAGTACCGAGAAACTAAAGCCAAAATAAATAGGGTATTTTTTTACCTTAAACTCCCCCTGTTTCGTACGCCCCTGATTAAAAATTTCGACATTTGATGTTTGAATTCGTTTAGGTGTATAAAGGTTATCATCTGTACCACATTTTGTAATTTTATCTTAAATGGTTTCTGAAATATTAGCAAAAACCTATTAGCCCTCTTTCAGGGGGTGTAGCTCCCTTACCAAGCATTTTTCGATACATGTTTATAGGAAACTTTTGCCTTAGAATTGAATATCCTATCACCTGTTTAAATTTGTAACAATAAAAACGGAACACCCTGTATTTAAAATCCCCTTTTGAGAGTGACTTTGAGGCAACTTTGATTAAAAAATCACAAAGAAGATATAAACTGACATAAAAGCATAATTAACTACAATAATTAATTTCTCTATAAAAGAGCACTTTTTTCGTTAGTTAGTTGAAAGTAAATTAAATAACATTTCTGGCTTCGTCTTTAAATGCCGCCTACGTTGTTTTTAAATATTAAAAATATGAGAAACCGAATATATTTTCAACGTTGAAAAATGCATTTATTAAAAAATGTTGGTTATTCACTCAGTTTTTTATCCGTTCGCTATAATTTTTAATTAATTTGGAGACAATCAAAATACAAAATTAACATATAAATTGACAAAAAGCGAATTTTCTGTATCATAGTATACACAATAGATGATAATACCACACAACTCGAAAGTGCTGTACATTTCACCTTCAAGGCAAAATCTTGCTTGATTTAATTTTTCACTGAACTTATTTTAATTAAATCTTTCTTCATTCACTTGAAAGAAAAATGCGTTCGCTCGTGACTTTAAACCACCACTCTATCTTTGCCATTCAAGTCATTTCCTTAGCTTTAGGGGAAAAAAAATCGTAGTGCAATCGAGCCAACACCATTTGAATAATGAAAACAGTACACAAAGCAATGATAAAAGCAAAATACAAACCTGGCATTAATTTTCTTAAGCTCCTGTCTTTTCTGCCATTCGTTTATAGATGTAACAACGGATTTGTATATTTCAGCGTCGTTGAGCTCGTCTAATGCTTCCAGGGACGGGCTGAGCCAAGGCACCGGTGTTCCTTCAATAAAACGAATGCAAATTATTCGAGTAATTTGTTAACCGACATGTCGCAACGTTAATTAAAATTTCGGTTGTAATTATGTACGGTACGTTAACTCTCATGGCATAAAAAATATGTTTGTTAAAGAAGCCTTGGTTTACTTCTGGCGCAAGAGCTTGCATTAGGGAAATGAGTTGAGCGAAAGAGTAAAAAATAAAGTCGGGGTTGCGACTACTTGTCATTAAATTATTATCAACTCAAACCTATATTTGTTTGTAATACAATCATGTAACAATGGATAATTTCTGTTTCCATCATCATGACCCACTTGTCCGTATTTTTAAAACTATATCTACCAAAATGACCAGTCCTACTTTTATTTTAAGTGGAGTATCGCCCCCATAGACCCACCCAATCCTCATTTAGTTTTAGAAAATGTAGAAATAGATGTCTTCAAGATACATAAAATACTCAACAGAGAATAGAAAGTCTTTAGAATCTAATACGATTATAAATTATGCACTTATCTACGAGTATTACACGATATTGATAGAATTATTATTTATTTCTGTTTTATTAGTCAAGGTTGCCATTGTACAAAGAAGCCTTTGACAAACAGCCTCTTGGAAATAGTTGCGTAATTTATCTTTATTAGCTTCTACAGGCATACAATACGTCTATTAAACAAACTTTTGATATGACTTGCAATGTTGCAAAGTTCCACTTAATTTACTCCATGTTGAAATTGTTTCAAATAGAGTTACGAAGAACTTTAAGTAAAAGTTATGTACAAGCGTATTTAGTACTTAATGTAAATACAATAACATTGACATGTTGACACAATTTGATCTATTGATGTTAATGTTGATGGCATGACGGCAATAAAATTCKGCAGGTGTTTGTATACAATTTTTACTAAATATTTGCCAAACAGATTACACGGTTTACTCCCAATTCAGACTAGTATTGAAAAAAAAACTGTCTAATTTTCACTTTTGTGTATAAATTTAAAAAAAAAATCGTAATTTAAACACGAAGATTTGCTTATGTTAAAAGTTCTAATATTTAAATAAACAKATCCACTAATCTGTTTTGATATAATTCCAACTAAATCTACTTCCTTTAATCTGTTACAAAATTTCTATATTATGTTAACAACTTAATTCGCTAATTTGTTTCAAAGTACGTAAATGAAATCGCAGGCTCCTTAGAGACCTTATAAGTTTATATTTTGGGTAAACTACGTAGATATTACACAGTCTGAATATTAATGTTTGTTTTTACACAGAAAACCGAAAGCTTATTATAACGTGTATTACCGCAATGGTAGAAAAAATATAAAAGGTATTTAATTAGCGGGTATTTTTAAATTTTGTGTCATTTATTCCAATTTGGAATAATTCTCACACGGCACGATGCGGTAATAGTGAAATCTAAATCAATTAAAAAATTAATTATATAAACGCTCGTTTATGGGTTATATCGGACTGTTTGAATCAAATGAGTAAAATACAGGCGTAACAACTAGTTTTCAAAAATGTAATTGCAAAATTATTGTTGTAATTATTAGTTTTTAGATACGACCATTAAATTATTACTGAAACGTCACTTCAACATTAAATGTTGATAAAGTTATTGTTTTGCTTTATTCACTGTGGACAAATTACGTCAAAAATTCAACACGTGAAAAGTGTTTATTTCTTGGGAAGAAATTTAAAAAAAATCGTTTCACATAGAGAATGTTTGTGACACTTGTTTATCAATATACTATAAAAACACTGTAATAATTACACTATGTAAAGTATATCAACGTTCAAATTCTACAAAACTGTTACCTAAAAGTTCTATATTACCTCTCTTGAACGGATGGATAAATAAAAATGTCTGTTTAGAATCGCAGTTTTGCTATTCTTTTTTGTTTCATCTAAACTAGGAAAAAGTATATGCCTCAAGCTAATTTTATCTATTGATGAACCAATAAATTCTATCCAACAAATTCTATTTACATTGAATTAGTAGATTATGTTATTAAGGGACTTRATAGCATAATAATCCAGCTGAGCTACATAAAGTTACTTTTAGCCCGCATAACATATATTATTTTATCTTCAAACCTTTTCAGATAAATTAAAAATAATAGGTAAATAAATTTATCGGCAAACGTCAAAAAATGGCACTTTAGTGTGTAAATGATAAGAGGATAAGTTCTACCTACTTAAAAATGCGTAGGCTTAAAAAGAAATCTTTTAGTTAGAGTAATCTAGACACAAAAGTGTTACTTTGACAATGGCAAATAAAGAACATTTCTGGTAAAACTAAGGCTTCTAAAAAAACTCATTGATTACTATAAAATTTCCAATTTACTTAATTATATCAATACCTATGTGGCCTCACATTTTATAGAATAGTTCATTATTATTATTATTAGATATTATTAAATAACTAGCACCACAGATTTGGTACATTTACGGGGCAGACGGATTTCAGAAAATTATACGGTATTATGTGAAAGTACTCGTAGGTAGCTTTTATGTTAAATTCTTTGCAGTTAAATATATCAATTATGTGTTCGACACTGTGATAGTTGCGACACATGGTTTGTATAGGGGCAAACTGTAGAGATAGTTCTTGAGCAAGGTAAGTAAAAAAGAGTAGGTATTAGTTCTGGAAGCTAACCTGGGCACATGTAGATATAATCTATTTAACAAATCAGGACATTCAACACCACCATTTACGATGCAAAAAAAGTACAACTTCTTCGATTTAAACTGACAACTAGAAGATCAGAGTGAATAAATTGAATAAATCTCATCAATTCTGTAATTAAGTATTTTAGGAAGCCTCTGGATTTTTTCAGGTTAAATTTTGTGAGTTTGACCAACATAGGCAAATTCTAATTTGAAACGGATAAAGGCAAAGTATAAAATTTTTAAGATATTTGTATACAATTTTTTTCCGTTTCTTATAATAATATGGGATCTAAAAATTAGCTTACTGTCGAATACGACACACAAATCTTTAACCTCTTTTGCCCTTTGTAAGGAAACTTCGTTAATAGTACAGAGTGGTTATAAATGATTTTCATCTAGCCAGCTGTGAATTTTCCATGTAAAATAAAAAATGCCGCTTTACAAAAATAGGGGTACCTACTTGTTGTAACTCAAAATTAAAAAATCGCCGTTTACTAAGCGTCCACTTCGAAAATAGAGTTCAATTATAAACTTGTTTTCTTCCAAAGTATTCATTATTATCAATTATTATTGGAAATTAGTTGAAACAATAAACATTTAATTAACAATTTATAAGTGACACTAATGACAGAACTAGAGCTTTCAAAAAAGTAGAGCGGCACAAATAAAGTTACATGCAAAAAAATTCCAAAGCTGGCTAGATGAAAATCATTTATAACCACTCTGTATAATCATAGAGAAATATTTCAGTTCTAGAACAATAAGATACAAATGAACATTTACTAACATTAATCGGCAAACTATTTTTGGAGCACCAGTTGTCAATTTTAAGAAGGTCTGCTTGCAAACTTAGACTGTCATTTAAAGATGTTATTTTACGAAAGATTTTTAGATCGTCTGCGTATAATAATGTACTAGCCTTAAGATCAACTGTTGAAAGATGAAGGCAGAGGACCCAAAATAGAACCTTGGGGGACAACAGATGTCGCTAGTATTCGTGTTGAAGTAAAAGGACGGTAAAAGATAACTTGATTACGATCTGTTAGGTAAGACTTAAAAAAGTTAACTAAAGATGTTGATAACCCGATGTTTTGTAAAAGTTTACGGTGATCTAAAGTCTGTTTTTTTTTAAATGGAAATGCCAAACAGTCTTAACGTTGGCATCACTAGTAAATTAGTTCATCGTAATTTTAATAAAGGAAGTTGGCAGTTCCGGTTTCTTGAATTAAT